TGCGATAAATCTTCAGGAATATGAATACCCAATACATCAACAGATCCGTCAACCCAAGTTAAAGGATGTGACGTCTCAATATGAAAATTAGTATGTTTTAATGACCCAATACGATATGTTATACATGTTAATACATGGTTAAGAAAATGATCATCATGGATATGGAGAATAGTTCCTGCTGACTGCGATACTTTTTTGTGATTTTCGACGATCTATTGTGAATCCCGACGCATTTATTGCATGAACAAAGCCCTTAAGATAATATTTCAATGCAATATATAAATACTTCTTTCGCTATTTTAGTGTTTGGCAACTTATACGCTTGTCCGAATCGAACGTCTTTATAAATATTTACGTGGCGTTGTGTATAGTGACGTCATTTAAAACAATCGGTATTGACCGTTACACTGACCGTGTTGTCACGCAAAAACACACTTGTTCAAGATTGAATGGTCACATGCGCTTGGGCACGAACGCCCATATTCGGCCAGTTATATAAAATATTTAATTCGTCCATGATTATACATTAAAGGAATGGTTATGTAGGATATTTTAACTCACGTATTGATTTAATACATGTTATATCTTTCTGAAATAACATATTGCCCGTAAATATCAAGCCATGTGTATTAAATCCAAATGTGTTTCCAGGTAACATGCCGGGATCGACGTATGCAGTGAACTTTTCTTCTTTGGAATTGGTTCTTGACGGTGAAATTACAGCTTGAATAATATAACCACTACACATTACCCCGGTCGTATCTTCTGAATGAGAAAGGATTTTCTGTGAACCCGTAAACAAATTTTATTAAAATTATAACGAAGACACTCTCAATAAGTTAATCAAACCACATAACTATGTTTGATTGGTACATAGGATTAATGGAAACATTTTATTTTCCATGTAAGCATTACGTTGTTGCTGAATCATCTATATATACATTATCACCTGCGTTTCTGTGATTAACACCAGGTCTGTACAACCTTCCGCATTTGAGTTAACTTCAAATGGATGTCTTCCAGTAAGAGCCGTTAATTCGGGACCGATTAGTCCCAGGAATAACTGAAATAGTCAATATAAGGATTATTTATTGATAGGCGCAACATGAAAACGAGAAAATTTGTTGAAATACAATCGTGATTGGCGGTCAGTGTAGTTGCATGTGTCCTTTTCATGGCTTCCGTTTTGGCAATCGATGACTCGTTCGATTTGCCTTACCTCGTTGTGCATATATTGCACTGGTCATTTGCAACCCCGACCCCAAATCTGGGTCTTCGTGGGAAAAGTATACACAACTGCCACACAACTCCTGTTGTTCACGTACATGTTACCAGAACGAATCGTCGTATCGAGAAAGAAATAGTACGACATGTTGACACCAGGATAGTGCAGTAAAATGCCATTTGATAAGACCCCACTACCCTGTCATGTAGCCCCAAACATGAATATTTTTTTTTTAAATGTTTGTTACTTGTTCCATGTTTGTACATGCAATAAAACACAAAGCAAAAGAGACAATTCAAACAAACAAATTGTATAATATTTTATGGTGTTCATAGGAACCCAATGAAACCGGTATCCGCCAAAAACCTATTGACCAGATTACATGGCTCTTGAAAACTAGGAATAAAATTAGAGTGTTCAGATGTGAACGCTGGCTCGCCACAAACTCGTTCTCAATATGCGATAAACGCGTCCATGGCTCTAAAATTTCGATTTGTGTATATACATCGCGCTCTCATTGTTATTATTATTACTATCTATATTTTGAATCATTAGAAACCATTCTTTATTGTGCTCTTATTTATTTGACCTATATATGACAATTCGAATGGACTTATGCTTCAACCACGGCCCTGCACTATTATTTCTCTAGCCTTAAACAGCGACATGCAGTTTCAAAATTATTTAAATTGCCAAAAAGAAGTTAGTTCGGCATCATTGTTCTAGTAGCTCTATCACAAGTAGCCAAGCAGCAACAGCGACACAGCGGGTGATTCTCCAACAGTAATAAGAGTCAAGCCGTGGTGTTACTGGCCATCATTTCCCACTGCAAATTTCAAAGCAGCTGGCCTGAAAGTTTTGCTGTTGGGAAGGTTGAGTTTTTTTGTAAGCAGTGAAGTCGTAAATCATGAGTGGTCCTGGCTTTTGAGTGGACACTCACGAGAGTCAACATATGGTGCAGCCAGTATATGAATAGATCATACTATGCGACTATGGGACACCCTTGTGTCCTGCGATGTTACTTATACATACATAAGACAGTGGAAGCTACCTATCCATAAATTAAGCATTGTTTACGAAATAATATCATGAGCTATTCTTCAAAAAAGAAAATACACATTATAACTTCAGAGAAAAGTAACGATCGCTCATGCGTAATCTTCGCACCGCGTACCTGTGCTATATTAACCAGTTTACATATCTGTGTGGCAATTACGATGTTCAAACGAAGCTACATATATATTCTTTCATCTACATTTCCTTATACTAACCGTGTTCAGGCTACACCAAATACGGGATAAGAGTTAAGTTAATCTCAGATATGTTCATACCGGCTAGACCCAATCACATACACGCGCGGGAGGAAACTGTGGTTAGCACGGGCTAAGGTACACCCAAATTGATTAGTCAGTACAGTAACCAGTAAAACGTGTTAGTACTACGAATATAAATAGAATAGAACAGAACTATTGAGTATTAATTGCTTACTACAATACTTCCACACATAGTCCAGACCTAAGACCTTATTTGGCGAAGATACCCAACAATTAGATATTACGTTAGTGGATCATTTACCATAACCCGTTCCAAAATATAAGATATATGCAAGCTACTTGTTATATGTTTACACAATCACTATGTATAACATGGTAACGTACATGTTTGAAAGAGACTTGAGCACCATCAGATATACCTCGTACTTCATCAACATAATGAGGGTAAATGGAATTCACAGTATTTAAATAAGCCTTGTAGATTTCTTCTACATTTGGTATCTTATAATTATCGACTGCATCCATGTCAATAGTCTTTTGTATGCTGGATTTGAATGTATTCCCCTAAATTAAAAAAAAGAAAGAAAAATAACAACTGAAAATATTTGCAGACGTTAGTAATTGTATAAATAATGAGGCAAACGCATGAGTACAGGGATATAAAAAGATATATTTTGACTTGTATTTACTCTCCCAGTTGAATGGATTGTTCTGATTGCCAATAGCGATGTTCGTTTTATTTTAATGATTATACCGTAAAATGTACTCCATATGTCGTGGTTGTTAAACGTCCGAACGGAGACTAATTGAGTGCCAGGCGTGCAATTATATGCACACACCTTCAAGGGAATGCTTTATCCTTGCGTTTTTCAACTTTCTTTTAGTGTAACAATCCATAGTAAAGAACGTTCATGTTAAATATCAAACGTGGAGATTAACAATGTATTGGCTATAACTCACGAATACTAGTATACTGCGTTGATTTGCATCAACTGTTTAAACGTAATTACGGTGTCTGTTAAATTATTGAACATCCACGTTAGAAAACGAGATAACAATCTAAAATATTGTTTCAAATGTTTTTTTTTTCTTTCTCAAAAACTATATCATGCTTATACAGTCATCATTGGAAAACATAGCGAGTGTCAAGTGTCAGACTAGCTAAGTGTAGATCCAGAGAATAAGACAGAGAATAATGCTGACTTAAATCTATAATTTTTGAGAGTCGAAAACAAAAGACACTTTTAAACAAATTGATTGCAAAAATTACATTCTTTGTGATCACAATGTTGTAATCGGTATTGATTCGGGATTTAACATAATATATATTGTAGGATTATTCAGGCCAATATCATAGTTGAACTACATTACAGTCCAAGTGTCAGTTTTGCACTTCAAAGTTTAGAAATTCTTTTGTTTATTTATTAATTGTCATAGTTTTATTTTATTTATGTTTTATGATATTTTGAAGGTCTGTTTTATAATAAAACGGCAATGTCGTCACATCCGGCATTTGAACTAGAGTGCGTGTCGAGAGCGTTGTTTGTTTTGCAAGGTTATGGGTCGTAAGTTGACACCAAACAAAATAAACATGAACTGTGCTATAGGTCACTGATAAGACCTATGAGCTCTTAGTTATATTGAGTTAAATTGGGGTGGAGTGGAGGTACAAATTGACGCGTGTTGATACCTACTGCATCATGACATACACTGACTTCCATGGTTACTATTACGTAAACGCAGTAAACATGCCAATACTCACTATTTGGTATCCTACTTCGTAGTTTGAGCCACGGACGAAAATCATAGGAATAGCCATTATGTATACATAATTCCCGATTATATCCCCGCAGCATTAAGAGTTGCAAGCTTAAAGAAACACTTCAATTAAAGAAATAAATCCTCACTGTGGATGAACTACCCCCATGGAACTGCCTTTCCAGATAAATTGTAGACCACGGACTGACGACACATGCCTGTACTCATTAACATATAGACCAACATAGAGGGCGTCATTACAGGACTGATGTAGATGTATTGAATACAGTAAGAGACAAGTAATTTATTGAATCTAGAGATAAATATTACACGCAACTAAAAACGATTGCATTTTTCAGTATAATATATTTGAACCATTTAGAGAAAAAGATAAATACCAGTATGACAATTAAGATATTTGTATGTTAGTCATGCTGAATTTAATCTACCAATGTTTGGTTACGGTTTTTCGAATGACATTTTTGTGGATTTATTTCAACTTTTGACATAATTAAAAATTGCTATACACACTAATCAAAAACCGAATATGGTTGTTACATTAATTTGCTTTTCAATCCGATGTTACATGTGTTAATGAGGGATTTTTAAAGTCAGCTATGTGTGTTAACAAAGTTAGAAACAGATGTTCACCATTCTCAAAATACATTAATTACTAGTAGTGACTCATGTGGTGTTTTACGTAAACACTGACAATGTTGACTTTTGAACCCCCACCCAGCGTTAATCAACCAACTGCTCTATCACTCAGGAGCTTCATCAATACCCAAGAACCTGCAGTGGAGTGCGATTCCCATACTGTACCATCTTCGCCAGCCAAGGACCATTTATTCGGCCATTTATTCACAAAAAATGTTCAAACTTTGGAATAAGAAATTTTAGAAACATATCAACGAATATAACCCTTCTTTTCTTTACACTGGTGAATCAGCGTAATGGGCGAATCAGCATAAAGCTTACACGCCGCAATTGTTTTAATCTGTGACGAACTCCCCGATCTTCACACTTATGATACATAGCACCAGCTCCTTGGCGCGATTCGGACGATGATACTGTTCTGGTCATTAATTTATTATTGTTATAACCCGCCTGGTCATGTTACTTAGAATCATTGTTCGAGCTTAATTTTTTATCCTGTTGTTCTTGCAGTATGATTATTCTTGGAAGCCATACTTGCACTAGTCTTTATGCAGATTGTTTCATTAATATGAATATTATGGATACTAAAGTCTCGCATAGCTCTTTGTAAACTGTTATTGTAAATCACACATAATTTGTAAATCCACTTTTGTAGAGCAGAACTTGCACATTGGTTAAATGTATACAATCTGATGAAATGTGTCTTACAGTAGAGTATGGTGCATCTGGTGGAATGTGTCTTACAGCAGAGTATGGTGCATCTGATGGAATGCGTCTTACAGTAGATGGTGCATCTTATGGAATGTATCTAACAGTAGAGTATGGTGCATTATAATTTTCTTTGTTATACATCTGTTTTGTAATCACTGCTTACATACAAGCCATTGAATGTTTTGCCAAGAAAGATATGACCTTTTATGAACTGTTTATAAACACATGTCATCAGTGTAAGCATACATGTTAATTTTTTTTAAAACAACTCAACCACAATTATAATGTTGAGCATCATACAACCATAATATTCAAGGAAAAGAATGAACAAACACTAAGATGTTGAGTTTCAAGTAAGGTTTAATGTCTCATTGTTTATAAACCAATGGAGCCAGCTTAAGGTAGCGAGACTATTATTTGTGTTGAAAATTACGATTTTCACATTTATTTATTAATTGATGAAATGCACTATAAACTTTCATCTGATAAAGTCGACTTAACATAGAATGTCATGTAAGTTGGTTAAAATGTAGATTTTCTGAAGGGAAGCAAGGCAGCCTCAGTAGTGTTTTCCAAAATCAATAACACAGGTTAAATCTGTGTGCCTATAAGCTTCAAAGATAAACTCAAGACAAAGCAATGTTAGGATGTGTTATCAGTAGCTATCTGACACACAA